GCGTTAATGAAAAGTTTGAAAATAAAATATTGACTAGAATGGATAAACCATGTATAAATCCATAGTTTGTTTAAACATTGGATTACAATTTAGATAAGTGTCCATCTACAAAAGTGAAGATCTCCTATGAGGTTCAAACAATGAGGAGCAACCATCTAGATTCATACAATAGTCATACCAAGTCATGTATCTCGAGCAGTTTGTAAGCCATGTTTGAACATGGTGCACATATGTCTCTCTTGAGCTCTCTACTGTCCTCCCGTATATGGGATAGTTAGGATTACCCCAACTAGTAAGTCCATACTCGCCAAAATGAGTTTGTCTTTTAAGCTCTTCATCCATTCATCCAAATTAGGCCTTAACATGCTTGAATTGCATGAATTATGCTCTCTTGCTCTATTTGCCTACAAAACACACAAAGGGAGGCAAATAACTTAGAAATCTAAGAAACTAAGCAAAAGAAGTAAGTAAATAGGGCATGTATATGTATGAAATTATGAGCTTAACACTTCTCTGCATCCATCATCCTTATCTTGGGTGGCATGAGTAAAATCACCCTCAATAGTAAATGGGCTATATTGTCTTCCTTCTTAATTACCTCCTGATCCAACATTACTTCCTCCATCATTATCTGGACGAATTGGATGAACTTTATTTCCTACTAGTACGGACATCGTCACTCAAGGGACGTCTTTGACCTTGATGAGGTCCAAGCATATCCCTTTCAAATGATGAAGTATCTCCACTCCTAACATCTTCGGATATGACTCTATCAATATCAACTCCTTCTTGGGCAGCATGTTGTGCTATAACGGCATCAGGGTTGCCTTGTTCATCATCCAAGTGAGCTGCCATAATCCATTATTGACTTGAATTATTATCATCATCAAATGGTTGCCCTGCAATGTCAAGAAGGTCTATGTAGTCATTTGTTGTTCATTTCGGCCTCTTCATTATGTAGCTTAAGTTTCATATTATAATAACAAAGCGCAATCTTTTCTTGCCTAGTATATGCGAGACAGTTCCTTTGTTTTGTGTGAATTAGAGCAAATGTACTCCAATTTCGCTCACATGCCAACGATTACGTTGTTTGCGACAATATACGCATATCAATTTTTTTCAAGTTCGAGGCAGAATCACCATGAAGATTCCACCATTTTGCTAGGGGGATTGATTTTCTTAATTTGATAGCCATCTCAGTGCGAAATATCTTTCTAGTCTCTAAAATTTATCACCTGGATTCACAATGTTTTGTGTTCAATATACATAAAACTAAACTTAATGAGGAAGACATTGTTTTGTGTTCACTTACCTCGCCCCCAAATGCTTGCAAACCTCTATCCCCAATTGTGGCCAACCCTTGTTTCATATTTATATCAAGGGTTCAAGTAGTGGGCTACAAATATGAAGATTAGTTAATACCCATTGTATAATTTTTAAAATCGATGCACTTTTTTACTAAGAGATTAAAACATACCAGCTTGATGTAGTGGACGAGATAATGTGACATCCCATCTGTGATTGATGATTTTGAGAGTCCATATTTCCCCCTTCAATTTGGAAATCTTCTATTTCATATGTGAAACATATCATATAAGATAGGCATGGTTGGAACTACCTTTGTGTCAACAATTTGCATGATGCTATACAAAGGCTCATAGATGGCAGGCACTCCTTCCATGGTATCCCAGAATCTATGATCAAGGACTCGACTTTCAATTCTCTTCCCATATTTTGATTCACTGAATCGACTATTATACCATTCCTCACTTGTAAAAAGTTGCCTCAACCCAGCTTTCTTCTTTAAGATGCTATTGATGGTAATGTAGTTTGTTGCAAACCAGGTTGTACTCGGTCAGACCAAATCCCCTTGACAGAAGATGAGCACTATTCCAATAGCCAACCATGATTGTAAATGTAGTTGGTTAATTTCCTAGCCTTATTTATGACATTAGCCACTGACTCTTGCTTCCCAATATCTTCAAATATTATATCTATGGAATGTGTATCACAAGAGTCCAATAAATAGGGTATCGCTCCATCATAATCTCTCCAGCCTTAACAAAGGCTGAACCATTGTCAGTGACAATATGGACAACATTCGATGACGCAACCTCTTTTATGAAATCCTTCAACATTTTGGCCATGTACTTTGCATCCTTAGTTTTATTTGAAGCATCCACTGATTTTAAAAAAAAATAGTTTTCCCATTTAAGTAGACCATGAAATTTATTATGGACAACCTCGTCGGGCCAGTCCATCCATCACTCATGATGGTGCATCCTTACACGCCTCAATCTTCCTTTACCTTTTCCACATAGGCTTGCATGTCTATGCGTTCCATATCTAAGTAATTATTCTTTATTTCATACGATGATGGTGTGGATACACCTTGACCTAATAGAATCAAACTCATATTAGTAATTGGTGTTTAGAGTATTTAAGTTCAAGAAAGGGAAGTCATAAGGAATAAAGCAAAACCTACTTGTTGGGCTACATGAATCATGTTCTTGTTGGGAACTTGCTTTATGAGGAGCCACATTCTCAAGTATGAAGAATTTGTGTGAGAATCCTTATTCTTAAAAATGTTAATATTTTATTACTTTGGTAAGTATTAAATTATAATAATTGTTGTACTTTTATAAAAATTAAAATTAAAAATAATAAAAATAATAAAAAATAATAATAATAAAATTATAGTATTATAGTCATTCCTTGGAAGTTTATGTTTTGTTTAATTGCTTCACTTAGTGCAAATTCATTCTTTTTAAAGGATTTTGACGATTGACTTTAATATTAATATTAGTTAATAGCATCTCATGCATAGCTATTGAAATTCATGCATGAGAGTTCTTTTTTTAACTCCACGTAGTTAACATATGTCAAACAATTATGGTTTACTTGCTTATTCACTTGCAAACTAATTATGTGTCATTGAATTACATAGTTGAGTCATCACCACATGTCTATAGGTAAAACTTTCTTATCTACAAGACCATAATAATATATATATATATATATACTTTACTTGGGTAAAAAGTACATAAACCGCCTGTGGTAGCCGACCTATACATATAAGTATATTGTATTTGAATTAGGATTAAGTAGCATGGGGATTAGATGAAGAGCATTCATGCATTATTATTAATAATGTGATATTTGGATGTGTGATTGTTTATCACCTAATTTAATTATATCAATTTCATGTAAAAAGGTTTATGTCCCTACTGAGCTGTGGTTTCGCTCACCCCTTAATAGATTTTGCAGGTACCGAACCTGAAATCTAAAGCTTGTGATGATTTTGGCATATTTATAAGAGTGTACTGTGTACATAGCTTGTGGATAAATAATGAGTTACTCTTTTAGTAAACTCTTTAGTAGTTCTGGCTTGTAAAATAATATAACTATTTCAAGCTTTCAGATGTTGTTGTTTCGAATATTCTATGTGAAATATTTACCTTATTTATTTAAATGTTTCTTCACATTTTACTTATAGTTTTTATTAAATTCTATAATTAAGGTGTGAATCACGTCTTAATCCAAGGTTACGTAAACCCGTGGGTTGGGGCGTGACAAGTTGGTATCAGAGCGTAGGTTTACGATTTAAATTGTTTTGTTATTCACTGACCTGTTAAATTAATGTTTAGGATGCAACCCGATCACAACGATGATACATGGGGAGGGTTCCAAATGGGACCCGATGGCCTTATCCTAGTAAACGAAGAAGAATTTCACAACCGTCTACGCCACCAAGCTTATGTGGACGTAGTAAATGAAGTCGTAGATACATGAAATAGAAGGATGTTTTATACACCAGAAATGCAGAGACTGGTTGTTAGACGTCGGTTGCAGGCAAACAATATTAGGAGTCAGTATCAATTAAATATTGAAGCACACTCCTTCAACCAGGTATTAGAAGATGCTGCAATTATAGCTGCTGATATGTGGCCACCACCAAGAATAGACTTACCATATGTTCCAGAACCACAGGAGTTAAACTTACCCCATGTCCCAGATCCAGGAGATGAAGCATTTTTGGAACTTTTGGACCTTGATGCTCTATCTGCTGAGTCTATGGGGTCAGCTGCTTCAGTGGTTATCATTGAACCACAAAATTATGATCCAACTGTCATCAATCTGAGTTCTGATGATGACAATGAACACCCTGAGCCTGTCATCCCTCCCGTTGAAATTATAGATATTAGTTCTGATGATGAATAGAAAGTTTGACTAATAAAATAGATAGTGTGAATCTAACAGGCTGATTTTGGTATGTATAGTTTTTGTGGGCAGCCTTATGGAGATTTTGAAGTAGGAAGTTCTTTGTAACATAGGTTTGTGACTGTTTTGTTAAATTTTGTGAAATAGGTTTGTAACAACTTATAAATGTTTAATATGTATGTTTGATTTTCTATAATGTTTCTTTTTCATGTAATTTATAAATGTTTTATATATATGTTTTTTTTTTCTTTCTGGTTTTTATTGGCATGATTAAAATAAATAAATAAATTGCTATGGATTAATTAATTGTTAGTTTCATTTTTCATAATCTATATGACTTCAGACAATTACTTTTGTGTCGTGCCAATATTTCTGATCTTGATTATGGTATATTGTGTGCATTAATTTTTGCACCTCATCAGCATTCACACTAGCAATTCTTTTTACTATATTATTTAGGTTTACTTTTGACTTACGAAGACTAGTGGCAGTTTTTAGTTTTGTTAGATTCTATGAAAATCTTGTGGGCGTTTCAGCATAGTTTGGAGTTTTCATAATTATAGCATTCAGTCATTTTATTTACTTTACTTGACTTTTCGATTCACTAGTCTATTTGAATCCACACTAAATCTCGTTAGCATCGACACTTTTTATTATTGGTGTCTGTCATTGTGTGTGTTACGTTGTGCATATGACAAGTATGCTTATTTTAATATTTAGCATATTCATATATATATTTTAATCTTGTGGAATTATCTGATAAAGGTCCAATTGTTAAGATGGCTGGAATAGAAGGACAAAACGAGAATGATGTGAGTGATAGTATGAGAATAATGTTAGCCATTCAGGATATGGCCTCTACTATTCGTGAGACAAATAACCACGAACCCCATCAGGAAACTCAAGATGATCAAATAATGAGGATTCAAGGAGAATTTCGTAAGACACGACCACCTGTGTTCAAGGGTGATCCAAACCCTATGGTAGCAGAAGAGTGGTTAAGACAAATGAGGAGAAAGATGAATGAACAAAGAGTTCCTGGAAACCTGAAAGTAACCATTGCTTCTACTTATTTGGAAGGACAAGCTTATCATTGGTGGGAATCTGTCTTAGCTATACCTGATGTTGAGATTGCAACTTGGGTTGCCTTTGAGACAATATTTCTGGAAAAATATTTTCCTGAAACTATGAAAACCATGAAGGTACGTGAGTTCACTAATCTTTATCAAGGTGATATGACTGTGGGACAATATCAAGCTAAGTTTGAAGAACTGATGCGTTTTGCTCCTTACATGATTCCTAATGAGTCTGCAAAAGCAAAGAAATTTGAAGAAGGATTGAGACTAGAGGTCAAGGAGAAAGTGGAACTTTTTAAGTTAAAGAAATATGTTGAAGTTGTTGATCGTGCCTTAATGGCGGAACAAAGGATACTTAGTTCTAAGCGAATTTTTGAACCTAAGAATCCAAATAGGGGACAGAGTAGTAAACGCCAAAGATTTTTCCCCTCTCGATCTCGGTATCAAAATCCAAGATCATTTGAGGCAACTCAAAACTCAGGATTTTGTTATCATTGTCAGCAAATAGGACATTACCGGAGGGATTGTCCCCAGCTACAATCATATCAGATACCTGTTGCTCCACAACCACAACCACAGTTCCGTGAACCACAACAACAATTTCAAGCTCCACAAACACAGTACCGTGCTTCGTACCAAGCTTCACAAAATCAGTTTAGAGGTCCTGGTAATCAACAGGCACAACGTCCAAGAGGACAACCTGCACAACAAAGGCCTAAGGCACCAGGAGCAGCAAGGAGACCATAACAACTTACTCAAGGACGAGTATATGCTAGTAGTGGAGCAGAATGAACCTACTATGGTGGAAGGTACATTTCTAGTTTTCAACTCGTGGGCTAGAATATTGTTTGACCCCGGTGCGACAAATTCATTCATATCTGTGTCCTTTGCATCTATTCTTGGATTAGAATATGAATTTATGAAATCCTCGTTGATGATTGGATCTCCATTGGGTAAATGTGCTGAAGTTAATAAGTTGTGTAGATCCTGCATAATAGAGATATCAGATCATAAACTTGTTGTTGACCTGATGATATTGGAATTCATGGGGTATGATGTAATATTGGGGATGGACTTGCTTACCCAATTTAAGGCTATTCTTGATTGTGATAGAAAGATGGTGAACATGACTCTCAGTGATGGTTCTTGATTGTGATAGAAAGATGGTGAACATGACTCTCAGTGATGGGAAAACATTCAATTTTTATGGAAATAAGAATAGTTGCAAGCCTGGATCAATCTTGGATAATAAAAATTGTAATTATTTGAGATTGATTTCTCATATGGCCAATAAGGATCTGGGTGATCCCAAACTTGGGCTAATTCCTATAGTGAAGAATTTCAGTGATGTTTTCCCAGAAGAGTTATCTGGATTACCCCCAAAACGTGAAGTGAAGTTTTCTATAGATATCTATCCTGGCACATCACCTATCTCTATACCTCCACATCGGATGGCACCAGCAGAGTTGAAAGAACTCAAAACACAACTTCAAGAACTTGAAAGAAAAGGTTTCATTCGTCCTAGTACCTCACCATGGGGTTTTCCGACACTTTTTGTAAAGAAAAGTGATCAAAGTCTGAGGATGTGTATTGACTATCGTCAACTGAATAGAATCACTATCAAGAACAAGTACCCATTACCTAGGATTGATGACCTGTTTGATCAACTGCAAGGTTCCCGATACTTCTCGAAGATTGATCTTCGCTATGGTTATCATCAATTACGAGTAAAAGCAGAAGATGTATCGAAAACTGCGTTTCGAACGCGATACGGACATTATGAATTCCTAGTAATGCCTTTTGGATTGACAAATGCTCCAGCAATTTTCATGGACTTAATGAATAGAGTTTTTCGACCTTATCTAGATCAATTTGTGATTGTGTTCATTGATGATATTCTCATTTATTCATCATCTCAAAAAGAACATGAACAACATCTGTCAATTGTTCTACAAACATTGAGAGAACACAAGTTATTTGCCAAGCTAAGTAAGTGTGAGTTTTGGTTAACAGAAGTAAAGTTTTTAGGACATGTTATTTCAAAAAAAGGCATTGCCGTGGATCCTGCAAAAGTAGAAGCAGTGCTGAATTGGAAACAACCAAAAAATGTTCATGAGATTCGAAGTTTTCTTGGTTTGGCTGGCTATTATAGGAAGTTTATCAAAGATTTTTCTCGGATAGCCAATCCAATGACTAAGTTGACACAAAAGGGAGTTAAATTTGTCTGGAATGATAAAAGTGAGGAGGCATTTCACGAGTTAAAAACTCGATTGACATCAGCTCCTGTGTTAATTATTCCAGAAAGAGGTGTAAGTTATGTAGTATATACTAATGCATCATTGCATGGTTTAGGATGTGTTTTGATGCAGTCTGACAGAGTTGTTGCTTATGCTTCTCGTCAATTGAAATCAAATGAGAAGAATTACCCGACACACGATCTAGAACTGGCAACCATTGTTCACGCATTGAAAGTATGGAGACATTATTTATATGGGGAACATTTTGAACTCTACTCAGATCATAAGAGTTTGAAGTACTTATTCACTCAAAAGGAGTTGAATTTAAGACAAAGGCGTTGGATGGAATATCTAGAAGATTATGACTTTGACTATCATCCAGGAAAAGCTAATGTGGTGGCAGATGCTTTAAGTCGAAATCCCCAAAAAGTTGTAGCCAGTTTATATGATCAAAGGAGGAAGATGGTAAAGTCTCTCTATGATTTTGACTTGTACGTAGGTATACACGAGGATTGTGCATATCTATGTAATTTAGTAACTCACCCCACTTTGATTGGAAAGATAATTGAGGCACAAGAATCTGACTCTGTGTCTAAAGATATTCGAACTAAGATTACCACTGGAGAGACACCAGATGGATGGAATATCCATGCAGACAGTGGATTAAGATATTTGAATAGGTTGTATGTACCAGAAATTTCTGATCTAAGAAAGGAAGTTATGAAAGAAGGACATCATTCATCCTATACAATTCATCCTGGAGGGACAAAGATGTATCATGACTTGAGACGTAACTTTTGGTGGAGTGGCATGAAGAGAGATATAGAAAAATTTGTAGCGAAGTGTCTTACATGTCAGCAAGTAAAAGCTGAACATCAGAAACCGTCAGGTCCATTACAGCCATTACCAGTAGCAGAATGGAAATGGGATCATATAACCATGGATTTTGTTACAGGTTTACCTAACTCTTCAAAGGGACGAGATGCAGTATGGGTTATAGTGGATCGTTTGACCAAATCTGCGCATTTCTTACCAGTCAAAACAACGGATTCCACGGAAAGTCTTGGAAAGCTTTATGTTCAAGAGATAATAAGATTACATGGGATTCCAATTTCGATTGTTTCAGATAGAGATTCTAAGTTTACTTCTAAATTTTGGGGAAGTTTACAGAAAGCGTTGGGTACACAACTAAATTTTAGTACGGCTTTTCATCCCCAAACTGATGGACAGTCAGAGAGAACCATTCAAATTTTAGAGGACATGTTGAGAGCATGTATTCTAGATTTTGGTGGAAGTTGGGAAGATCATTTGGTGTTGGCAGAATTCGCCTACAACAATAGCTATCAGTCCAGTATTCAAATGGCACCTTATGAAACTCTTTGGTGTTGGCAGAATTCGCCTACAACAACAGCTATCAATCCAGTATTCAAATGGCACCGTATGAAGCTTTATATGGAAGACCTTGTCGGTCACCTGTATGTTGGACTGAAGTAGGAGAAACTGTGTTGCTAGGACCTGATTTGGTACAAGAGACAACTGAAAAGGTTAAACTTATCAAGCAACGTCTCTTAACTGCTCAAAGTCGACAAAAAAACTACGCTGACCGAAGAAGGAAACCATTAAGTTTTAATGAGGGAGATTATGTGTTTCTTAAAGTCTCACCGCGAAGAGGAGTAAAAAGATTTGGAAAAACTGGAAAATTAGCGCCAAGGTTTATTGGACCATTTGAGATCTTGGAAAGGATTGGTGAAGTAGCTTATAAGCTAGCATTACCACCTCAACTTTCG